ACAGACTCTTCCTAGCCCCGCAACTGAAGCACAACCGCATTGGATGATGCGAGTAGCATTGGGAAGAAAGCCGCAAAAACGGTTGACGATTGGGAGAAGTGATGGGTTTGATGCATTTGACAAGAAGTATGAGAATCAGCTGGAGCGCTTTTTGGGAGCCTTGGTGCAAGCAGATCACAGGTTGATTGGGGCTGATGATGCCAGACATAGAATCCAAATTGTCGATTGCAGCTTGGGCCTGGAAGGAGAACTTGGGGTGGGCGAATTCATCGAGTATGTTTATGGCCGACTTGATGCAGTTTTATCTCAAAGAAGCCCATGGGAGACTCGCTTCAGGGAATTGGAAGCATTTGTCAAGGAGAACGGGAGGCTTCCTCGATTGCAGGGAGCTGGTTGCGATCGTGCTGAGACAGTGCTGGGATACTGGTTGAAGCATCAAGGTAAGCGCGTCAGGTTGCAGCAAATGCCAGCCCACCAACTTCAAAGACATCTGAATGCAAGATCCGATCTTATCCGCAGGCGTGCTGAAGGCTGGATGGCCGGTGGCTTTGTTGGCCGCTTCAAGCAGAAGTGCCGAGAGCTGAAGGAGTACATAGAGACGAATGGCAAACTTCCAACCAGGACGCGAACTAAGCGCAACTCTTCCAGCAACCGGCTGGCGAGGTGGCTCGAGGATGTTCGAGACAAGGGATCGTGTGCCAAGCCTGAGAGGAGGAAGATGCTGGAGGAAGTGCATCCTTTAGTGAAAGAGCTCCTCCAGAAATGGGACCACGCCCCTCTCAAAATCAGCAGGGTAAAATGGGAAAAGCAGTTGGAGAAAGTCCTCCACATCGTGAACAAGAACGGGCAGCTCCCGAAACAACCGTCGGAAACAGCAGAGTACGATTGGCTCAGAGTGCAACTCCTACGACTCGACGTTTTGCCGCCTGAGCTGGCAAAGCGACTTCGTGGCTCCCATCCACTCATCGCAGCAGAAGCTGCCAGGACCTCAAGGTGTTGATGTTTGTGAGTGATACTGTATCCAAAGCGTGCGAAAGGCTTTCTTTTTGTTAGGGGGCTTAGGTAGTGACAACCTAGCTAGCAGGTTGTATTTTCCTTTTTTCCTACCCACGAGGCCAGGGGCCGCAGAGGTGTGACACCATTGG